TTAGGCTTTCCTCAGCCCTAGCAAGAAAAAAATCAGTTCATAATAGAAGAATTAAAGCAAACAAAGGGAAAGAAAGAACTCTTAGAATCGCCCATGATGCTGAGATCTCCTCCTCTTGCCGCCACCTTCTTCTTGAATTCTTGCTCCTTTCTTGATTGATTGCTCATTTCTTCTTGATTCAATTCCTAAGATTGAGTGATTGTGTCAAGCTAGTCCACCCCCCCCCTTTATATAGCTTAAAGGGGAGGGGGTGGTCTCCTACTTCCTCTTGAAGTTTATCTTACAAAAATAGAAAGTCCTAGTCAAATCCTACTCTTATCTCTTTATCTAGTGAACTCAATCCCTTTATCTTTCTAAGATTACATCAATAATTTAGATCTGGAAGGACTCTTCTCAGTTTCTTGTTCTTGGATTTGTATTAGACCTCCTCTGCGAATTGGGCTGCTGCCAGGCTTTTCTACAAGTTGGGTTTCAGCTGCGGATTGGGCCTTTCTACGAATTTTCCGCGACTTCAGTCCCAGATTTGACTTCGATGCAGGCCGGATCCATGAAATCCCAAAACGCGAAAGTTGTGGATTGTTCTCTTATCTTTTCATCGGGTCTTGAATCAGCCCAATCGGAGTTTGTATACGCAAGTTAGGCCCAGATTATTGAACGATGCCGAAACTATGAAAAATCATCCGATTTGCCTTTCTTTTCTCCCGATGCCTTATTTCATGCCCTGAACCGAAATACAAGGAATATGAGTCCAATTAAGTGCTAATTAAGTATGAAAGACAGAGTATTTGGGGATAAAAATGTGATAAATTATACTCTCATCATCTACAGGTCAGGAACACATGGTATGTAAATTAAATAGATCCATATATGGACACTTAAGCAAGTTTCTAGAAGTTGGAACATCCGGTTTGACTCTACTATGAAATGGTTTGACTTAGAGCAAAATCCGGATGAGCCCTGTGTTTACAGAAAATCCAATGGAGATAAGGTTACATTTCTTGTTCTGTATGTAGACAACATTCTACTCATTGGGAATGATGTAGGAATGTTGACTACGGTGAAAGTATGACTTTCACAGCAATTTTCCATGAAAGTTCTTTGAGAAGCCTCCTATATATTGGGCCCTCAAGTCTATAGAGATATATCGAAGAGGATAATAGGATTATCCCAATCCGCTTACATTGACAAGATAGTCAAAAGGTACAACATGGAGAACTCCAAGAAAGGAAATGTTCCTTTTAGGCATGGAGTACCTCTCTCCAAGGGCATGTCTCACAAGACTCTCGAGGAGATTGAGGGCATGAAGGACGTTCTCTATGCCTCAGCCGTAGGGAGTATCATGTATGCCATGCTGTGCACTCGTCCTGACATCGCTCAGGTAGTGAGTGTAGTAAGCAGATTCCAGGCCAACCCAGGGCAGGAGTATACTGATGCCGACTTCCAGTCAGATTCAGGTGATAGAAAGTCTACATCTGGGTATGTTTTCATGATATGATCGTGTTTTGTTTGCCGGAAAAACAGCAAACAAGGGTTCACGGCGAATTCCACAACCGAAGCCGAATACATTGCTGTAAGTGAGGCTACCTTATGAATTAAAGTGTTCATTATGAACTTTGAAATTCCGCACATCACGCATTCCACTGTTGTGTGACAACACTGGATCTATGGGAGATTAATGTTAAAAGGTAGCTTCAGCGGAAAATGTGGCAGACCCATTGACTAAGCCACTGACATAGAAAGTGTTTGAGAAACATGTGGAAAGTCTAGGACTCTGGCTTATACCAGATTGGACCTAAGTGCAAGTGGGATCTGTTAGACAGTGTATGCCCTTAGCTCCAATCAGAAAGATGTACCTTGTGACATTTAATGAAAATGAATAAAGTACATATGTGATTCATGTTATTATTGTGTGTTTCTATGTAACACCCTTAAACTGGACACATATGAGACTCATGTTAGTTTAGAATCTTCACAACCGTTGGATAGATCTTGGGAGATTTATCCTGGCAAGGTTGACATTGATGTGCCGCCAAGTTGGTTGGGGTGGCTTGTCTCTACTGCTAGGGTGAGACCTGAGGTACATGCAGTGTGGGTTTTCTTGAAACCCTGAACCAGACCAGAATTCCAGTATTGCCCGGGACCTTGGAGATAGATGGGCAAATCGGGAATGTTACACCTGACCCCTAGACTCGATCATGATAATGTACTAGGTGGCGGATTGGGCTGTCTTTGATTTTCCAATCAGTGAGATCCTTAGAGGGGGTCAAAACCTGGGTATGTTGGGACAATCTGATAATTCATCTGAGTGGGTGATCAAAGTGATAGGATCAACCCTTTTGTCAAACAAAGTGAATGATCGGGGATGCACTCTCTCTGATGGAAACCAAAACTGTTGGCAACCGATTTCAATCGTTAAAATTTGTTTTGAAAAATATATTTTTATATATATATATATTACGGTTTCAAAATGTTTGCAAAAGGTTTTATGATGTGAACAAAAAATTATCTTATTTTTATCCCCAATTACTCATTCTTTTACAGTAAATTAGCATTTAATTGGACTCATTACTCTTGTATTTGATTCAGGGCAAGTTAGAAGGCAACTGGAGGAAATCAAGGCTAATCGAATGATTTTGCACAGTTTCGGCACCGTTCAGTAATCGGAGCATAACTCTCAACTCCGGACTTCGATTGGGATGATTCAAGATTCACTGGAAATATAAGGGAGATTGGATCACTAGATAAGAGATAGGATTAGTTCAAAACCAATTAGGACTTTCTAATTTTGAGGATAATCTCCTAAAGGGAGTTGGAAAACAGCCTTCTCCCTAAAGCTATATAAAGGGGCGGGGGGAGGACTAGCTTCAGCACTCAATCAATTCAGAAGATCAGTCCATCCATCCGGGAAGCAGAGCAAGAAGGAGTTGACAACCATGAGCGGCTAAGCTTTTCTTTTATGATTCAAGGGGGATTTTCGATTCAATTGTGTCATCGTGAGGTTCTGTGTTTAATTTAAATTCTTGCTCTTAAATCAAGTATTCGTTGATTCTTATGCATGTTCTTATGGATGTTAATGTTAATTAGTCTAAAAAATTAATTAATGATGATCTTCCTATTGCTATCCATGGTTCGATGATCCGTAATTGTCATGAATAGTGGTACAAGTAGCAATTAGGTTATTATCATTTTGGGTCAATTGTTCGTGACAGCCTTTGACCAATGTATTGGCATGTTTTAACCTAA